AAAAAAAAAAAGAAAAAAGAAAACACTTGATTTAGTCCTATTTAATTTTTTATTTTTTTAATTAGAGTCGTTACTGAACTGAACGTTTGCGAATAAAAGTTCGTTCGAGCTCGTTTGTGTTTGACAAGAGCTCGTCTGTTTATTGACCAAGACGAATTCAAACATAAAATTAGGCTTGTTTATTAATCGAACGAAAAAGAGCTCATTCGCAAACGTTCCATACGGGTCGTGAACATTAATTTTGTATCAATTATATTATTTTTATATATTACATGATACTTTTAATAAAAAAATTAAATATAAAAATTTAGTTATTTATTTTTTTATTTTCGAGTTCGAACAAGTTCAAACGAACATATTTCGTTTCTGTCCTAAATTATTCGAAACAAACGAACTCAAATTTTGAGAACAATTAAACGAGCGAGATCAATCACGGTTTTTTTTCTCGAAAATAAAAAACGAACATGAACAATATTCGAATATAAATTAACACGAATTCAAAATACCTAAACTTGGCTCGTTCGATTCGATTACAACACTAGTCCTAATAAGATAAACTTTCCTATTCGCCCTTACATAACCATATTTATTAAAAAATAAAGAAAAAGAACAGGATAAAAAAGGAAATAAATAACCGCGTTCCAATTTGTTTATGGAAATTGGAAATAATATCGGTGGGCGTCAATAAAATAATAAAAATATCTTTTTGTAATCAAATTAATTCCCTCATTTATTTCCACCTCATCGCCACTAACCCTCCAACTCCCCGGCGAAGGTTCCTTCTCCGTGTCTCAATCGGAAACCTCTCAACCAGCGGTTACTTATCAGATCTATGAGTCCAAATGCTCCAATTTTACCTATTCGGGTGTTAGCCGTGCCCTAATTTTCAGGGTTTATTGTGTTTGGATTTGTTTTCGATCGATTTCAGATGTTGGCGCGGTCGGTTTCAAAACTTTTGGCCTGAGGAGACGGTGATCTGAGCTTTGAGTGGTAAATTTTTGGTTTTCTGAGGCGGGTTTTCCGTTTCTCTTTTGTTTGTCTGCTTGGTTTTGCCGAAATTGGGTTTAGGCGCTAATCGGAGGTTAGGGTTTAAGTTTTGAGCTTTTTTTTTTTTGTGTTCGAATTAGGTTTAGAATTGAATTTGATTAGGATTAGCTTTGAGGGTTCTCTGCGAGGCGTCGATTGGGGAGAATTATGGTTGGATCGGAAAGTTTGGGTTCGTCTCCTTCCCCTGCGGAGGCGGAGAAAAAGCAGTCACCGAAGCAGTGGGGCGTGACGAGGCCTCTGTCGCATGCGGGGCCCACCGATGCGGATATTCAGAAGAACAAGGAGTTGGAGAAGGTTGGTCCCCCGAATTGATGATTGATTTTTCAGTGTTCCTTCTTGTTCTAAGATGTGTTTGCAAATTACGGGATTGGGGATCCTTATGTGGTAGAGCTTGATTTTGTTGTAATTTTTAGTTTTTGGTGGACTTGGGACTTCATGAGAGCGCGGAAGGAGCTGCCAAGAGGGAGGAGGTTCTGGATAGACTGAGAAAAGTATGTTAGCACAATTTTTTGTTTCATATTTGCATCATGCTGTGTTGAGTGTACTTGGTTGATGGATGCAATTTTGGTTGAATGTGTTTCCAGAGAATGGTTTGCATTTTCTTCCAAGAAATTGAAAATGGTACAAGCAAATTGAAATATGGACAAAGTTAAATGTGTAGGTTAGTGTGTTGAAGGTTTCAATGTTTGACAAAAAGAAAATTGTATATCCTTTTGGTATTCTTTAAACTGAGGTGAATGTATTTTGAACAGTGGGTGATAATGATAATTTGACTTGTTTTATGACTGTCTTGTTCTCTGAGTAATAATGGGTGGTTGTGTAGGAGCTGAAATCGCTAGTTGAATTTTGTTTTCAGTGCTAAATCTTAGGTGAAAATGGAATTTTGTGATGAGTGCTCATGTGGCAGCAAGTTGGATTTTCTATCCATGGTCTTCTATTTCGTAAGGAACTGTTAAGGGCATCATGTGGCAGCTTGCTTGTATGGTAAACTAGGAAAGATTAAGAGATAGCTATAAGTCTCGTAAGTAAAAGTAATTCGCTTCAGGCACTAGGATTTTGAACCTCCATAGTGGCTCTCAGAAGCTGAAAAGAATCATTGCTACTGTTGAGTCGTTACAGATTATGACTTGTTCTTTTTCCTGATATAATTGCGGTAATATGAATTTTGTTCTTAGTTGCATGTCTTATACTCCCATAAATTTCAATCTATTCACTGTTTTAACCAATACGTGTGGCTTATTTGTGCTTTGGCTTATTTTTGCTTGCAATGTGGCATTTCTTCTTCTGTTTTAGGTTGTGAAGGATTGGGTCAAAGATCTTACTCGGTTGAGGGGATACACAGAAAAAATGGTGGAAGATGCCAATGCCGTTATTTTTACTTTTGGTTCTTATAGACTCGGAGTAAGGACCTTATACGTATGCTACTTTGATGTTTTATTCATTTTTGGCACCTTCTCTATCCAAGTTTAACATGGAAATGATATTATATTTTTAAACCTTTGATCACAATATTTTATATTTTTAAATGCTTATGTTTCACGAGATTTTATTTTCTTATAGACTCCGAATAACCACCTTATACGTAAGTTTTGTTCCTTTGGCACCTTCTCTTCTTAATATGTCAATGTGTCACTAGATTTTATATTTTTAAACCTGTGTTGTGTTCTACACTTCTACTTCTATTTGCTTGTGTTTAAATTCATTTTTTGCGGTTTATTTACACAACTTCACAATAGTTAATGATAACCCTTTGTTTGTTTTGCAGGTACATGGTCCTGGTGCTGATATTGATACTTTGTGTATTGGACCGTCTTATGTTAGTCGGGAGGTACTTTGGGACTTGTATACTCAGATTTGTATGCTCCTTGTTGTTTTTAGTATTCACTATTAAAATATTGTGTCACCAGGAAGACTTCTTTTATGTACTGCATAACATGTTAGCTGAGATGGAAGATGTTACCGAACTCCAACCAGTGCCTGATGCTCATGTTCCTGTCATGAGATTCAAGTTTGATGGAATATCAATTGATCTTTTATATGCAAGTATTTCTCAACTGGTTGTTCCAGATGTGAGTTGTTCAAGTTTACTCGTCCATTATAGACTCGGTGTATTTTTCATTCTCCTGCATATCATTGGCTGAAAGTTAGATCATGGCGACTGGCTTCCTTAAGCTATATGGGACTGTTCAGAGCATGTTTCTTGCGTCCATTATCTTATTAGCTGATTCCTTTTTACCGTGTTATTTGATGGTTCATGTAATTGTTCTTTATATGATGTTTTTGGCTTTTTGCTTCCCATTGTCTAATTCTGTAGTTCTCTAGGTCAGTTGACCTGGTATTACTGGTCCTCAGCTGATTGGTGTGATACTTGACTGTTTAAGTGCTCATCTAGGGAAGAAAGATTAATGCCTTTTCACATGATGTGCCTTCATTCGGCAGAGTAGTGGTTGTTTTCTTGCATTATATCTTATGTACTCCTGTTGAAATGCGCACTTTGGTTGCGGGTAGGATAATTAATTTCTATCGGTTTCCTTTTTCTCTGAGCCACATTCTCCAAGTTACTTGTTTCTCTTGTGAATTTCGGTTTGACATAAGCTTTGCTGTTGGTACTCAAAAGAAAAAAAAAAAGAAAAAATTAAAACAAGATAGAGGGAGAAGAACGAGAGAAAAGAAGAGGGGAAAATCTGCCTGATGGATAGCATGTTTGAATTGGAAGCGTAGGAACCATTTGGAAGCCTTTTTTTCAGAAAAATCTGTAGACTGCAGTACCTGCGCTTAATTTTCTCCCTCTTTCGAATGTGATTCTCTTTGCTTTCAATGTCATTGAATCTTATTTGGTGGATGGAGTTTACATGGAAAAGAACATATAGTGTTATAACAGTGTTCTACTGCTGCTGTGTTGATAAGTCTAGCTTTTGATACGACATGTTTTCTGAGATTTTATTAAGTCAAGCTTCTGTATGACAGGATTTAGATATCTCAAGTATATCCGTGTTGCACAATATAGATGAACCAACTGCACGTAGCCTTAATGGATGCAGAGTAGCTGATCAAATTCTTAAGCTTGTTCCAAATGTTGAGGTACTCATTTGAAGTGAATGTTGGTTGTTCTTTGCTGCTACCATAGTTTCTCATTTTCTCTTATATTATGTTTCTTTGTTCTCTTCTTTTTTCATTATCCTGTAACCTCAGAATTTTAGGGTGACTCTACAATGCCTAAAGTTCTGGGCTAAGAGACGTGGTGTTTATTCAAATGTAAGCCGTTTTCTTCCCATTGTTTTTGAGCCATTTGCTATATCTGTGGGACAACTGATAATCTCTTGGTTGTGGCATCCATACTCTTTTGATTTTCAGGTGATGGGGTTTCTTGGTGGTGTGAACTGGGCTATTCTGGTTGCTCGTTTGTGTCAATTTTATCCCAAAGCAAATCCCAGCATGCTAGTTTCTCGTTTCTTCCGTGTTTATACAATGTGGCGCTGGCCTAATCCTGTGATGCTTTGTGGTATAGAGGATGATGAACTTGGATTCTCTGTATGGGATCCTAGAAAAAACCCTTGGGACCGCAATCATCTCATGCCTATTATAACCCCTGCCTACCCATGCATGAATTCTAGTTACAATGTTTCAGCAAGTACCCTTCGGGTTATGATGGAGCAGTTTGAACTTGCTAAAAAAATCTGTGAGGTAGAGACTCTAAAATCTTTTTGCTGATGTAACAGATCACTAAAGAGCATTTCTGCCTATGGACCTGACCGATTTGGATTTTGCAGGACATCGAGCTGAACAAATTGCAGTGGAGTGCCTTGTTTGAACCGTATCTGTTCTTTGAAAGCTATAAAAATTATTTACAGGTTGACATCATTGCCTCTGATCCTGACGATTTGCGTTCTTGGAGAGGTTGGGTTGAATCCCGGCTGAGGCAGTTGACTCTGATGGTAATATCTTTCTGTAGGGTTCAGTATTGACTGACATGGTGCTAATTTTTGTTAACCTAAATCATTCCCATGTGTTTGTATTATTTGTTTGATTAACTGTCCAATATTTTCTATCCAACTGTTTGTTTTTTATTTTTCTATGCAGATAGAACGGGACACCTGTGGGAAACTACAGTGCCATCCTTACCCACACGATTACACGGATTCTTCGAAGCAGTGTGCTCATTGTGCCTTCTTCATGGGTTTACAGAGGAAACAAGGGGAAGTCATTCAAGAGGGCCAGCAATTTGATATCCGCCAGACAGTTGACGAGTTTAGGCATCAGATAAACTCATACCTGTACTGGAAGCCTGGGATGGATATATACGTATCTCATGTCCGTAGAAAGCAAATCCCCTCGTATGTATTCCCCGATGGGTACAGAAGGAGCCGGCATATGAGGCCCACAAGTCAGATGAAGGTTGATAAGACACCCATTGAAAGCGGCGAGGCCTGTGGGCTCGTATCTGCTGAAAGATTACTGAAACGGAAAATAGAACTTCGCGGGCCAGAGTCGGAAGGCAGCCCGGAGAAGAGGCATTCCGTTAGCCCCCAGAGCCAAGCATCGGTTTCGCCCGAGCTCGTTTGTTGCTCTACCCTTTCTGAAACAATAAAAGAGAAGGTTGCAATCAACGGGCCATTTCCTTTTATGAACGGAATGATTCAGGAAGTGGGCACTATGGTTCAACAGCAGGTGTCCAGGGGGTTGGATGGGTGTGAGAAACAGCTTGCTGCTATAGAAAACGAGACAGGTGCAGGTTTGATGACATCAGACCCGGGTATGCACTTCAATGCTGATAAAGGTTGCCTGTCTGTGGCGAATGAACAGATGATATTGGATAATGAACGTGAGAATGGCGCTTCTATTTTGGGAGATGGATTACGGGAGCAGTTAGAGGTTTTTGAATTAAGTTTCTCTTTGTCAACTTACACTACAAATAGGTTCTGCTTTGTTTAATAGTTTGTTGCATCAATCTGCTTTTTATATATGATTGTGGATTAGCTACCAAAACTACTCTGCGATTGGCCTAATCTCGAAAGAGTTCGCAATTAGCTTTGAAATTTTGAGCACTTGCTGTAAATTTTTTTCCTCTATAATTAGACCAAACTTCATGGGTAAGTTTTTGTAGGTAACCCGACATGAATAATTTTCCATTTGTTTCGAGGACATATTTGGCTTCCGTTCTAAACGCATGTACGATTGTTAATTATTATTTTTTAATTGGTATTAGAGTATTGATTGTGCTGTTGTGTTTCTGTGAAGCCTAATGCCGCCCTCTCAAGGGTCCTTCAATCTGGAGATGGAGTCAGTTCGGAGCCAGTAGAGAAGAACGTGATGAGGCATGTCTATCAAAATTCGACAACTGTTTGTACTATTTGAATATCACTCATTTACACGTTTGTCTTTATAGTTTTTTCCTTTTTCTTGGTTATGTTGGTTCATTCTTACAGCAGCAGGTTTAGTCTTGCTTCGACTGCATGAATGGCAGAAGATCATTGGTGTGCATGTCCAAAAGCCAGCAAGCTCGGGTAAGTATCGTAT